TATTTTTTTAATTGCAAAACATGTTTATAATGAAAATGGAAATATGAAAAAGAAAATAGATTATGTATGAGTAGCTCATGAAAACATTTCCTGGGAAACCCAAGGGACAAAAAGCCAGGTAAGGAAGGAAAAAAAAAGTGTAGCTAACATTACTGAAGATAAGATGTTTTTAAGATTTTGAAATAAAAATCAAACAAACAAAAATAAAATAATACACAAATATTGTTCATAAGTACGATATATTACTCCCGCCATAAATTGTGTATATATGTGCCATAAATTGCAAAAGTGCATAAAAAATGCTTAAGGGCACTCACCCACTAATAAAAGTTGAGCTCCACGACGCCGCTACTAGCATATATATGGTCCTTTTTCCTCGCCTTAATTGAGTGGTACGTAGAATAGTGTTATCTGTGTTAAAACTTCATAGGCCCCTCTTTTGGAAGCTTGTGCTTATAATAAACTACTTGTAACGTAACAAAATCTCAGCAATAATTAGGAAAGTTACTAAAGATTTGTTATCTTTGTTTACTGCTTATAATACTGGGATCTTGTAAAGTTCTTCCTTAATCATTATTTTTCTGCTAATTAGGAGATTGTCTAAAGATATGTAAAAGAGGACATGCAATACATTAACCGCAAAGGGACCTTTGTTTACGGCTTAAAGCATTGACAGTTGAAAAAATTTATAAATTTACATAGGTTTTAACTTTTAAATGTATATAAACAATCTTATGCCTTCAGAATCAACCAATTATTAGGGAATACCCAGGTAAAATTCCTATTCAAGGTGGTTTTTTTTCCCCCCTATTTAAGTTTTTCACATCCATTTTATTCTTGCATGTTGTCTCTGATTTAGTCTTACTGTGTTTTACATGGGGTCTTAGCCTCAAAAACAAAAAACAAAAAAACATTGGTTAACATTATCTTATTCTCTTTTCTCATAATTTTTCATGCAGGAACAAGACATTACTTACATTATACTCTTGTAATATTACACAAAGAAAGGAGGGAAGAAGAAAATAAACCTTCTAATGAAAGATACAAAAAAAAAAAGAAAAGAAAAAAAAAAGGATAGAGAATATGAAAAAGTAACAAGGGAGTCCATAGAAAAGTTATTTACAGATGAAGAGAAGTATCGATCTCGGAATTGTCGATAGTTTTTAAGAAAAAAAAAAGGATAGAGAATATGAAAAAGTAACAAGGGAGTCCATAGAAAAGCTTATTTACAGATGAAGAGAAGTATCGATCTCGGAATTGTCGATAGTTTTTGAGGAGGTAGCAGAGGATGCGGTGTTAAGATCAGCTTGGGTTGCCTGCAAATCAAGTCCAAGAGAGAGTGATTGATCTCGAGAAGTAGTTGGGGTGTGAGTGTGAGAAGAAAGGACCGTACGCCTATTGTTGGATTGGAAAGGCAAATTAGAGGGATCAAAATGGCTTGTTGGAGATGCTCTCTCGCTCTCCGACAACATCTTAAGGAGCTCTTTCTCTTCCCTTTTCTCCTTCACTTTCTGCAATTGCCTGAACCTTTCTTGCAACAGAGCAATGGAGGAGCTAACCTTGGTGGTGGCATCACCACTTTGCCTGCCCATTGAAGCCGAGAGCTTCCAAACTTGGAATAGTTGATGGGGTTGTGCTACACTTGGCTTTGGATGCGCAAAAATATAATGAATGTGTATATATAGGAATTAGGAGCTGTTCTCTGTTTTCGTTTATTTATTTATTTATTCATTTTTTACTGATGTAAGATTGATTACATGAGAATCGGCTACCGGGTAACAAAGTCCAAAGGAAAGAGTCTAAAGGCTAGTCTAGAGAAGGAGAAGGTTGAGTTGGTGGATGGGTAGGGAAAAAAGGACTTTTTTGAAAGAGAAAGAGTATGGGAGAGAGAGTCCAAAATTGGAAAATAGAGACTAGTATTTGGAAGGGAGTTCTTGTGGGGAATCATTTGTTAGGTAATGCTTGTGTCCTCTTCTTGTCTTTTAAGATCCTGTTGGGTTACCTTACAGCTTTTGGACGATTTTCCCTTATTATGCCTCACCTTTAAACATGGAACTTACCCTTTTGTTTTCTTAAGTTTTTTTTTTTTTTTTTTTTTTTTTTTTTTTTTTTTTTTTTTTTTTTTTTTTGTTTATAGCCCAGGCCCCTCTTTTGGATGCTTGTGCTTACAATACTCGTAACAACAAGAACTCGGCGATATTGCGGGATTTTCAAGTCTTCTTAATTTCCTAGGCATAATGTGCCACAACAGAAGGGTAAACAGAAGGCATTACAGGGGAACCTCTTTTTAGAGAAGTACTCCTTAATTTAATTATCATTTTCTGCTAGTTAGGAAGTGTGACTAAAGATATGCAAATACAATTAACCACAGAAGGACCTTATTTATGGCTTAAACTGCTTTTAGTTTCACAAGATTAAAATGATTGATTTACAAACTGGCTAATTCAGTTGGAAACAAAATATTAGGACAAAGAAAGCTGGGGGTCCATTTGAAAAGCAACACCAAGTTGACACATTTAATCTCATCTTGATCTTGCTGTTCAAGAACACTAGGCCTTGTTTGGTGGGAAGAAAATTATAGTAGAAGAATGCTCACTTGAACTCGCAAAATGATACCCGATAACAGATGGAACAATTCCAACACGTCCTCTTTCTATTCCCTCACACCTAAAAAAACCATTCTATTTGCACAAAATGTTGTTTTTTTTTTAAAAAAAAAAAAAAGAAGAAGAAAAAACAAAACAAAACAAAACAAATGATCTTAATTAGGATGATATCAAGTAAGTGTGATCCTGGCTGCCTTGGCATTTGCCATAAAATAAGTCTGCAGACTTGTCCTAACCACGTGATCTTCAAAATTCTCTATTGCAACTTCAGTCAAGTCGTGTCGCCAACATTTCACCGGAGACGGCGGGCAGCATGTAATTATATTATCTTCCTCTTCTTTGATTACAGAATTAGCAGGCACACGATAATACAATTGCAAAATCTAAGAACAAGTCACAAAACAATAACAACCTGATTAGTTTGAGAAAAAGGGACAAAGAAAAAAGTGTTTGATGAAATTGAATGAGCGTTAATTCAAGCTCAACTACATATGGGGACACTGAGTTAGCTACCAAGATTGAACAGAACAAATATCATCAGACTTTCACCAAAGCCAGAGAACTAACCTTTATTGAGGCCTTTGTTGTTTTCAGAAAACATCTGACGAGGAATGATATAGTCTCTGGATGAGGAGTAAACCAAAGCAAGCTATCAACTAATTCCAGATATCTTCTGGATCTGACAACTCTCGAAACATGTGTCTCTAAATGCTTGATCCCATAAAGTGGAGGAATCAAGGTCTTTCTCACTTGTTCAGGATAGATGAAGCACTCCTTTACAAAGAAGCCACAAGTATTAAATCATGACCTTCTCATAAAGACGATACACATCATGGAAAAATAGTTAACAAACGTAATATAGTACACATGATATTTACCCCGGTACAGTAGCCGAATTCGTGGAAATTAACTTTTTTGCAATGCGCAAAGCAGCCGAGAAAATTCCTCAAGAATTGTGGAAGCCTTCAGCCTCGTTGTTCAAGCTGTCAAAGTCGATGTCCACAATTTTCAGATTAGAAGATACGAGTAGAAACCAATTTCCTGCTGTACCGGAACACGACTAGATTTGGACTTTCGATTGCCATGGAAGGCAATATTCTTGGGTAACTACTAAACTCCAAGCTTTTCAAATTTTCAAGGTGAACCTTGATTGGAGTATTCAACCTTAAGTCACAGCTTTTGACTTCCAAATTCTCCAAATGTGTTAGCTCCGGAAGGTTATCCTTGATCCACTTCTCCGTTACAACGAGGCCGCCTAAGATTAGATTTCTGAGCTGCCTGCAGCCATTAATGTCGGTCCATAACGTAAACTCCTCACTTATTGAAAAGATTCGAGTCTTGCCGCAACAACATCAACACTCACTAGAGCATCAGTCTTTTAACTCCAAACACTCGAGTCGTTCGTTGTGCACACAAATATTTGTTATCCTCTGGCAATCTTTGAGTATCAGAGTGTCGAGCGATTCGAATTCAGAAATTTTAATGTCTTGAGACCACTCGTCAGTAATTTCCGCTTGATGCAATTCCAACAACTCAAGAGACTTGCGAGAAGCGAGAATATTGATATCGGCGATCATCCCGCGGTGCTTGATTGGCTTGCCGCCAGTGTACGAAACTGATTTGAGTTTAGGTGTGGATCCTCCGCCGTCAAGGTGAAACGAATGGATATTTGTGTGATGAGTTTACAACAACTGCAGACTAGAATGCTTCTTAAACCGTAAGCAAAAATCGAGATGGAAATCCTCGATCAAAAGGATCAAATCATGCTTAAAACCCAACATGAGGCCACTTAACTTCAGGGATTTGATTGTCTTGGCTGAGAATATGGTGTTTGGAAAAGTCTTGATTTTTGAGAACCATATGTCATGATTGATTGATTGTCATGAGAATATTGATTGAACAATACGCCAAAGTCTTGATTTTGGCTTAAAAAATTATACACTTAGAGAAAAATATAATTTTAAATGAGAATTTTTTATTATAATAAAAAAATTAAGACTTTTAATTAATTATAATCTCTATCTTTTAAAAATTATCTTAAAATATAAAAAAAATATTCCCGAATAGAAAAACTATAAATAAGAAATTATAGATTGTAAAATTCTTACCTCATTCGTTTCGCTGATTTGAGTTTAAAATTTGAGTTGATATGTGATTTTATGTGAGAGTTTTTTATTATAGTAAAAAAGTTAGATGTGACTGTTTATGAGAGCTTTTTACTGTAGCAAAACTCGAATTCTAAACTCAAATCAGCGAAACGAACGAGACCTACTCTCTACCATTGATATAGTTCTTGAATTAAGGATGAATTTTTATGATTCTCGTGTATTCTTTTTATCCTCCCAAAGCTTAAAAAGATATTTCCATTCGAGCAGCATAGGAAGGAAAAAAAAAAAAAAAAAAGGAAACAAAAGGTTTGGCGGGAATATATCAAAACCCAAATGGAAAAGTTTGGCTCCAAATTCTTAAAAAGTAAAATAAAATAGAATAAAGAAAGAAAGAGAGAGAATTAAGCAAGGTGTTGTTGTTGTTGTTTGGTGAATGGTGGCGATGGGCGACGACGATCCGAAGAGGATAAGCGAGGCGAAGCGGTGGTACAAGGCGGCGAAGGAGGTGGGAAACCGGGAGGAGGAGGCGAAATGGGCGAATGTGATCGGAAATCTTCTTAAGAAGAAAGGCGAGTACGTCGAAGCCCTCAAATGGCTCCGAATCGACTGCGAAATCTCATTCGAGCGTTTGAGTCCCAACCACTGCTTTCCTTCCTGTCAGTCCATCGGCGAAGTCTTTCTTCTCCTCAAGGATTTCCAAAACGCCCTCTTTTATCAGGTCCTTTCCTAGTATCATCTCCCTTTTCTTTAACCCTTTTTTTTTTAGATTTTTTTATTATTATTTAAAAAAAAAAATGGAATCAATAATGCCTTTGGACAAGCGAACACATTTCGCCTAAAGAAAGAAAAAAGTTGAGATTTTTTTAGTTCCTCACTTTTTTTAAGAACTAAATGGAGCAAATTTCTTGATTTCTCATTGTTACTCTGATGTATGTAAGCTAAAACTTGTCATTTTTGTTCAACTTTCTAGCTTTTGGCTTCTAATTCTCGTTAGAGTTGATAGAATCATACACAAATACATAAGTAGACTAAGTTTCTATATATTTGTTGTTTTGATGCCTTACTAGAGGTTCATTTAAAGTTAAAATTCTTTTTTTTTTTTTTAGCAGAGCTTATTATATATTTGCTGCTTCTGTGTGGTTTTCTGGTTTCCGCATCCGAATACTAGACTTTACAACAATTGAATAAATGCACTCAGAGCTTCGGACTGCAAACTTAAATTCCGCTTCGATCTAAGCTTTTTTTTTTTTTTTTTTTTTTTTTTTTTTTTTTAAATTTGGCAGAAAAAGCATTTAGGGCTTGCCAAGGATACGAATGACATTGTTGAGCAGCAGAGGGCCAACACCCAGCTAGGACGTACCTACTACGATATGCTTCTGTCAGTTAAAGATGACCAACATTTAGTGCGGAGTGCCAAAAAGTATTTTAAGTCTGCTATGGAGCTTGCACAAACTCTCAAGGAGAACCCGCCTGCAACTAATTATTCTTTCGTTAAGGAGTACATTGATTCACATAACAACATGGGAATGCTTGAGATGGAGCTTGAGAATTTTGGAGAGGCTGAAAAATTCCTGACGAGAGGATTACAAATTTGTGAAGAAGAAGAGGTCAAAGAAGATGATGATTCACGTACCAGGCTACATCACAACCTCGGGTTTGTTTATATGGAGTTGAGGAAGTGGGATAAAGCAAAGGGACACATGGAGAAGGACGTCGGGATCTGTAGGAGAATTGGGCATCGCCTAGGAGAGGCAAAGGGATTAATGAATCTTGGTGTATTGTATTACAAAAATCACAAGTACGACGAGGCGCTGAAAATCTATAGAATAGCATGTAATCTAGCGAAACAACTGGAGGATGAGGATCTTTTAGTAAATGAAATTGATCAAAATATTGAAAGTGCAAAAGAAGCTATGATTGTTATGGATGAGGTAAAGAAAGAAGAGCAAAATCTCAAGAAGCTAACAAGAGACATGAGCACTGCAAAAGGGACACCCCGAGAAAGGAAGTGCCTACTGCAGCTACATGCTGCTCTTGATAGTCTTATTGAAAAAGCGACGACAATAAATTATTGGTCGAAGGTACATTCTATACCATACATGTTTTTTTTTTTACCACCTTTCAATTCTGTAGCAGCTTCATTTCTGGTCGTTATAGGAAAAGTTTGCGTGTGGTGTCATTCTTTTCTATCTTTGTTATATACTTTTGCTCACATTGGCTTATTTTCCAAAGGCGGGAGTGATTAAGCTTGCATGCTAAGCATTCCTCATCTCATTAATGGATAATCTTTCATGTCTAGAGTTATGTCATCTTTCCTACTTGAATTTTTATCCTACTGACTGAATGGGATGGGAAATGAGTGTCAACAGTGTGTTTTTTATATCTTCGGTGTCATTCAGTGGATAAATATGAATGTATGCTCTTACCATCCATGTTACACAATGATCTTACCTATGAAGCATTATTTTGCATCTTAATGTGAACACTAGCTTTGTTAGGTCAATGCTAAATATTTTTTATGCTCTTTCATTTCCCGCACTTTATACAGTTTTCAACATACTCCTTTGGTTTTGCTTGGAATAGGACAGTCAGGAAGAGACATATCTTGTTCCTTATTTAAGGAAGCCGTCTGAGTTTTATGAAGTACATCACAAACTATTCTTTTAAGCACGACTAATATATGATTCGTTTAGTTGAATGCATTTATGTTGAAAATAAGTATTCACAGACGATGAGTTTCCACACCACTTGGAGATTCATGTAGCATATGATTGTAATGTGATGTCTTTGATGTCCTGTGTTCAGTGTTCTTATCTAAGTGTTTAAACTGGCTGATTTTTTATTTTTTTATTTTTTTATTTTTCATAATTGTATGGGTCAGTTGTTAATGGGAAAATAAAGTGGCTACTTGATTTAACTTGTGCGTAACTGTTTGCAGTTAGAGATAAAAAGATAGCCGAGAGATGTTTATAATTCTACTGCAATTTAAAGCTGGTTCATTTCCTCTTCTAAAATTTTATCTGCAGGTTCGTGAATTTGGAAAGAGGAAGAAGAGGATAGCAAGTGAACTTTATGACAAAGAAAAGTTGAGTGATTCATTTTTGACCGTTGGAGATGCGTATTATAACCTCAGGAAATTTGGCAAAGCCAGTAAATGGTACATGAAAAGTTGGGAAACATACAAGTCAATTGGTCACCTAGAGGTAATATGGTGGTCAGTCATTTGTCTTTTTAATGTTATTTGTAACGAAATAGCATGAAAAATTGGCAAAGAAATTCTTCTTTTGTAATAATCTGTAAGTCTTCTTACTGTTTTAGGTCAAAGTTTGATATCACTTGGTTTTCTTAGAGATAGTAGTGGTTGCCATTGGCCAAAATGCAGGCTTTATAGTTGTTTATGAGGAATGCTTATTTATGCACTTCGTGATATGAATTGGAAATATTTCAGGGGCAAGCAATGGCAAAACTTAACATTGGAAATGCTTTAGATAGTGATGGTAATTGGGAAGAAGCGCTAGCTGCATTTGAAGAAAGCTACAGGTACGGTTTTTATAGTGGGATCACGTTTTCCTTTTTTTCTTATTTTTTTCCCTTTCCCCCTTTAATTTACATTCTATCAATAGAGCGGTTGATAGTTTCACCTTGAGTCATCTTTGCTTTATGTTGATCTGTGCTCATTGTTTTCTATGTTGCAGGATTGCTATTGAAGCTAAGCTTCCTTCTAGGCAGCTTTCCGCTCTGGAGAATATGCATTATATCCACTTGATAAGATTTGATAATGATGATGAAGCCAGGTAAATGTGGTTCATGCAAACCTCTTACCAGTTAAACTCTGTCTGAATTTGAATTCAGTATTTTGTAAAATTAAGCACCAAAATACTTAAGTTGGGCATTTCAGATTTTAACGTGAAGGTGGTCAGTCATACGAAGCAAAATTACTGGGATTTCTTTTTTAATAAAGCACATGTCTTGTTGTCCTCAATTTATCATCTGTTTAAAAGGACACTGGCATGTAGGAGATTGCAGGTAGAAATCAACTTGTTGAAGCAATTGAAGGAAAGAGAGCTTGAAAAACAGGATGGGAAAGAGAATTGTTGCTCTGAAACTGATACAGAGGGAAGTCTTCGTAGTTTAGATGATGGGTTTAATGCATGTGGCTCTCCAGAAACCTTGGTTGGTATAGAAGAGGTGGATGATGATGTACCTTTAACTTCACTTCTTAAGTCCTCAAGGAGTTCACCCAAAATAAGACCAACTTGTATGGGAAAAGAGAAAATTTCGTCCAACTTTAGTAAAGTATCACCAAGAGGTTCATCTAAATCAGCCTGTAATCAGGAGGTAGTCGCTGGCCGCAAACGTCTTCGTGTAGTTCTTTCTGATGATGAGGATGCAATGTGTACTGAAGTACAGTGCTCAAAAAGCAGAACTCATAGTTGCCCAGTAGAGGATGTTGCTACATCTTATGAAAGTAGGTTTGAATTATAATTGATTTGAGATTCAAGAATCCTCAATGTGAAAAAGTTGATTGAATTGTGTTGTTTATTGTATGCAGCTAGACATAGAAGCAATACCGTCGGTCCGGCTTGCATCTTTCAGGTAGAAAAAAAAAAGAAAGAAGTCTCTGGACATTCTTGTAGAATATTGGCACATTGTGTTTCAGTCAGTGTGCAAGTGCTCAACTCTTTGGGTTTTGCAGGATATTTCAGCGGTTCCTTCTAACAGTGCAATCAGGTCCCATGACCCTGTTAACATTGAAGAAAGCTCTAGTTCACACAAAACTTCAGTTCCTTTTGTTACCACTCAAAATGACCAAGGTTTTAGGTCTTCAAGCACTAATGAACTTGATGTGAGTGCTTCTAAGGTAAATTCTTTTTTCTTTCTTTGTTCTTTTTCACTCTGGTCTTCTCATCTTACTTGCTAAGAAATGTTTCTGCGTACCTCTATATGATAGATTTTACCACATTGCTATAGCAGTGCTAGTTCTGTAAATTATACTATCATATGTCTCTTGTAATAATTGCAGCAATACATTACAATCAAGATTGACGAAGAGTTGATACATGTAGAAGCAGACTCATTATTGGCCACTGATAAATTAAGTATTGAGCATGTGAAGATTGAAGTAGCATGCTTTTACTACTTGCAACTTCCAACTGAGAAGAGATCAAAGGGTAGGCATTGGATTTTAAATTTAATGTGCTTCGTGCATATGATAATTGCCAGTACTTCAATCCTGAGAAGAAATTAACTTGGTCTGAATTAGTTTATTTTAACCATCTCTCTGCACATATACGCTTTCTGCCTCGTTCTCTCTTTCTATGGTAGTTTTCTTCGATACAATTTAGTAACACGGGCATTTTCTTTTTTTAGGGTTTCCCATTATTCAGCATATAAAATGGGGCGACAAAGTCATAGAATCATTGGAAACAATCAAAACACTCATGGATCATATGGGAAAAGTGTTGATTGAAGGTTCCGTAGATAGTAAGTATTCACACTGCTTTAAGTTCATTCTATGACTTTAATTTTGTAACTTTAGTTGATTCCTGCTATTTTGCGAGAATTAGCACTTGTAGGGACAGTATGTATCTTGTACAGGTAATTCCATTATTGAATTTACTATTTTGCTCTTTATGTTTTTCCATGAGTACATAATTGATAAAACTCATGCCGGAAGCTATGATCAGATTGTATTTTATTTCCCATTTGGTTGAGCTGCGTCTTATTTATCGGCTTTGTGACAAGAATAGTAAAAATTATTTTGACTATCATTAAAAATGAACTGTTTATTCCTCTAATATTTACAATCGCTGATTGAAGTAGTTGGTTGCTATTTTTCCCATCTGTGGAAATATGTTCTTAACTATTTTCTCTACTTAGTTACTTACCATGTATAATAGACAAGATTTTCTTTACATAGCTGAATATAAACAAAACTTGAAATGCTACAAATTAAGACAAATGACAAATACGCTGCTCAGTTGCGTAAAAAAGTTGGCTCATTTGCTATTGTATAATTTGGTAGAGATATTATGTTGTATTTTGTATTTCTTTTTCATGGTAAAAAATGTATAGAGCCTTACACTTTGTTATTCACGTATTCTTTGAAGTTCAGTGGTAGATAAACAAGATAGCTAATTAGCTCTTTGATTGATAATATGCTTGGTGATTCGGCAATCTTATTATTTAAACCCAAAATTTTAGCTAGTTCAGACTTGAATTTTTTATTTTTTTATTTTTTTTATTTTTTATAATAGGTCCTTTGTTACAATTGTCATATTGTTTGAAAATTATTCATTAAATTTTGGTTTTAAAAGGGAACCCAGGGGGAGAAAACCACTATTTTCATAAATGCTGATGAGACTGGTGAAATCTGGTTTTAAAAGGGTGTTATTCAGCTTTTTTACGTTGGAATAATACCACTTCAGAACTTTGTATGAGTGTCCAACGAGACTGACTATTGACTATTAAGAAATGAGATCATTTTTGTTTTGTTTCCCTACTTTTTATCCTCCCACAAAATGTTTAAGTATGTTCTGATTTATAGGCAATGCTTCGAAATAATTAATTTATCTGAGCTAGAATTCTTGTATTTTTGGTATTCTGCTAAGTTGTTGAGCTTTCATATATAATTGGAATTGTATGTTAGTTGTGAATTGGTTTCTTCACGAGCCATATGCTATTCGGTTTCTTAGCAAATTGTCCATTACATGTAACAGTAACTTCATGTGTGCACAGACTGGGTTCAGAAGCGCTTTATAAAAGTCTACGTGGAAGGCTGCAAGGAGGTATCACAGACACCCGATATAAAGTTGATGAAGAAGTTATACGATCCGGAGGTAACCAATGAATACGTGGTAGTATGGCAAAATCTTAAGTCTCTTTCCATATGCCACAAATTACTTTTAGATTCGTGGTTATATGAAGCATTTTTTTTCCCAAAGCAATTTTTCCCCTACAAATTAGATTCACTGTTATAAGGTGGATGTTACATTCCAACATTGTCCTCATGCAAGATTGGATGCACATGCTCAAATTTGAACGTGTAATGAAAGTTTTGTATCATGTTGGATTCGATAAAAGAGCGCATTTTTCATCTATTTATTTGCTGTGTCTTATAGGTTTCAGAAGATGAAGTTATTGTATCCGACTGCGAATTGCATGATTTATCAGTGACTCCACTACTCAAGGCCCTGGATGTCTACAGAACATTTGTAATGCTGGACCTTTCTCACAATTTATTAGGTAATTACATCTAATTCTTAGCCCGTCTTATGTAGGTTTTGAGCAATATTTGATGCTAAAATTTTATATCATTTTCATTTATATGCTTTTAAACATGAGTAATATCAATACCCATTAGAAGTGAGGTCTTTCAACTTTTGGTTAGTAACTTGGCTCATTATCTCCAGGAAATGAAACAATGGAAAAGTTGCAACACGTATTCACTTCATCAGGTGTAAAATACAGTACTTTAACATTGGATTTGCACTGCAATCAATTTGGTCCCTCTGCTCTGTATCAGGTCAGCAACCATTTCACTGCAACACGTTAAAGCTTGTTGTTTATCCCTTTTTGCTCTTTGTCAAGTGTTGATCTATTTGGAATGTTCTATTTTGTCTTTTATTCTCAACTTACCTTAACTACCCTCTGCAAGTGCATTGGAAGATGCAGAAATAGGATTTAAAAAAAAAAAAGTATCTTGCTGAGAATCTCGGTGCAGAGATATGTATATTTGGCAATTCAAAGTTTTACCATCTATATTTTGTTTCATAATGACTTTTTAATATTGTTTCAGATTTGTGAATGTCCGTTGCTATATACTAGATTGACAGTTCTAAATATCTCTGGAAACCGCCTCACCGATGCTTGTGCGTGTTACCTTTCAACTATTTTGCAAAATTGCCGAGGTAAAATTTGTCTTTTTTGTCCTCTTGCTCACCTAATTTCAGGTCTCAAGAGTTCCAGTACCTTATCAGTTACCAATGACTTGGAATATTATTGTTTCTTGTTGAATATCTACATATTCATTTAAATGAGTCACTATAAGACTGATGCTATCAATATGGATATCAGTTGACACCTGCCTGTTTCTTCCACTTATATTTCGCTTTGTTTGTAGCCCTCTATAGCTTGAACATAGAAGGCTGCTTTATAACATCGAGAACAATTCAAACTGTTGCTGATGCCTTGGACTCCGGATCCATACTCGAACAATTATGTATTGGTAAGTTTGCCTGCCATTTTGGCTATAACTGTGTCTTCTAAATTTATTTATTTATTTTTTTGGATTATTAGATTGTTAAACTCATCTTACAGGACATAACAATCCTATATCTGGCGATGCCCTTATTAGTTTACTGGCCAAGCTTACCACATTGAAACGGTTTGTATAAATTCTTAAACTCCTTTCTTGTTTCCAATTACATATGGCTATAGATATGCACCCAAATGAATAACAAATGCATTTTGAATTCACTTGTAGATTTTCAAAACTGTCTCTCAATGGTTTGAAGCAAAAAAAACCTATAATTAATAGCTTGTGTGAGCTCGCTAAAGCCTCGTGTTTGTCAGCATTAATGCTTGGTGAAACTGGTATTGGAACTGTAAGTAAACTCCACTGAATTCAAATTATGTAATAATGTTGGCATTTTCTTATGATTCTCATGGGATATGATATTTCTGGCAGGAAGGGGCATTACTGGTGACTGAATCTTTGTTCATTGGAACTGAGCCTGAGTCTTTAAAACTCGACCTCTCATATTGTGAACTTACATCTGAATACATTCTCAGATTAAATGCTGATGTGTCTCTCATTAGTCGCATTAGTGAACTCAACCTTGCAGGAAATCCAATTGGGCAGGAGGTTTGTTATTTTATATTGATCTGGTATTTCTTACATTTGCATTTGTCACCTTTCATCATATAGCCACAAAAAAATCATATATTTTCCCATCACGAAGTTTTCGTGCCATGACAGATATGGCTTTTACATATAGATTTCATCAGACATATAATTGCGAGCGATAACAATAATATGTCTCTCTGATATGTTTCATAAATAGAGAAAATATGCATTGTCTGTGAATAGGAGTCTGTCTAAAATGGGGGGAAAATAAAAAGTATTCTGGTAATATACAATAAAAAGCATTCTTGGTAATATACACGAGATATTTATATTCTAGCGCTCTCGCCTAACCATACTTCTGTGAAACAGGGTGGCAATGCCTTATCATCCCTGCTTTCGAACCCGCAATGTGGCCTAAAAGTTTTGGTCTTAGAAAAGTGTCAGCTTGGGGTTGTTGGAACTCTGCAAATACTTAAAGCATTAGCAGGTTAATACTTTGATGCCATATTTGTTTGTCTGACGGTTTCTGGGAACTTAATTGTGAATCATTCCTTTGATGGTTTTTGTAGATAACGAATCTCTTGAAGATCTCAATCTTGCTAATAATGTGGATGTTGATCAACATTCCACTCCACGGCGTGATGTAACTACAAAAGACAGCGAAGAACTTTTGCAGCCAGAGATTGGTGTACCCAAGTCTTCTCGCAAGGCAAGTGTACCCGAGGAAGTTGAGCCTGCTCAACAGGGTTTAGTCCCCGAGAACAATGACCTCGATCAGCTTGAAGTTGCTGACAGTGAAGAGGATCCTATTGGAGGTGAGGCCGCTGCCTCTGGGATTGATGATAGCTGTGCCAGTTCAAGTCAAAGAAACTCTTCATCTCCAGAGTGGCAGTTGGCTCAAGAGGTTTCGACCGCCATCAGCAAGGCAAAGACATTGCAGTTACTGGATCTTAGCAACAATGGCTTGTCGACACAAGTCTCAGAGAAATTGTACACCGCGTGGGCAAGTTCCAGGCCCCGTCCAGCTTATAAGCATATTAAGGATCAGACCATCCATTTGTTGACAAAGGGAAGAAAGTGTTGCATTAAACCCTGCTGCAGAAAGTGCAAGTTAGAAGTATAAATTTCTCAAAATGACTCTAAATAAAACTGCGCTGATTGTGAAATAGTTTTGGTGCGGTTAATCGCTTTGTTCATTGATTGTCACCGTGGGGGTGAGAGAGCAAACATGTTCATTTTTGTGTGGTGTCTATCTATTGCCTTGTCCTGATTAAAACTTGATAGTATCTATTAAATATTAATTATCTAGTGGTGAGATTTTTCAATATGAGTAGGTATTGTAAATATATATATATATATATGGATAAAAAGGCATTGTAAATGTTGCTACAATCAAGAAGTTTTATTTATTTATTTTAGATAGTAAAGTTGCAGGACTTTGTGCTTATGGATTGTTTTGTTTTGTATCATAATTCAACTTATAGTTAGAAACAAAAATGTTTAATAATTCGTTAGTGTAATTACTTTCAGCTGTGTTTTCCTGTATAGGACAGGAACGAGAGACAGACAGTTTTAGGCATGTTTTTGGGAAGCATTAATCTTTTGAGTTTTGATGATTGATACGTAGGACAGGAATTAGGATAGGCGGCTCTGTTGCTTGGATTTTTGGTTCGCCTGCCTCAGTCTAATGTTATTAGTAGCCTATTCTCACTTGTTCATTCCATTCATTCAACGGTCAACTATCCCAGTTAAATTCTTAATTTCTTAAAAATATCCTAATCCTCCAATGCTGCATTGCCACTTGGTCTAGAAGAAATTAATTACACAAAAAATATCTTCTTAGATTTCTTGAGTTTCATCTGAGACATTTTTTTCTCTTTCTTCCGTCTCTTGGTTTTATCTTATCCGACTACACGCATATGAATATGATGTCTCGTTCTGAGTGGCACAGCGAGCTAGGCCCACTCATTTCACCACACCCTTTACAGTTTTCAACCATTTCATTTTCCCGTGTATAAATGGGATTTATATATATATATATATATATATATATATGATAACGTTACCGACTTCCATTCTAATCTCAAATGATAATTGATGTAATTATAAAACCAAAACCGCCTCTTGTTTCTTTCTTCTTCGTCGATTCATCTTCCACTTTGATCCGGTCAGTTAGTACTAAACTACAAATACAAATACAAATAAATAAAGAGAAAGATGTACACTTGTCTCAACAGTCTCACCCCAATCTCCTCTCCCTTCCTCCGGCTCCATCCCAAACAAACGACATCTTTTCCTCCGAAACGCATGGAAAACGGCAACAAGTTCACCCTCAAATCCTCCTCCCCACAAAACCTCCTCAGCCGGCGAGATCTCCTCCTCTCCGCCACCGCCAGCGCCGCCATCTCTCCGACCCTCTCCTCCTCCTCCTCCTCCGCCGCCGCCGTAGAGGAGTTTCCGATAAAGCTGGAGGGGACGGTGAGCAGAGTGGTGGGTCGGCCTCGGAAGTCGAGGAGCAAAAGGGAGAAGGAGGACGAGGAAGAAGTCCTCGTGATCGACGGCATAGAGTTCGACAGCAGAATTCCCGTGAAGTTCGACGTGTACGTGAACGACGACTGCTCCGACGGCGGGAGTGGGCCCACGGCGGCGGAATTCGCTGGGAGCATGGTGAACGTGCCTCACGGGAGAGGGAGGATGCGGACAGGTCTGAGGTTGGGGATAACTGATCTGATCGAGGATGTCGGAGCTGATGACGATGATTCTCTTCTCGTCACTTTGGTCCCCAAGTCTGGTGTTGGCCTTGTTACTGTCGGGAGCATTGGGATTCAGTTTCTCTCCTAACTTTTACAACCTTATTTCGTCGGTAATTTCATCTTCAATTTTATTATGATGGGAAATTTCTATAAATACTTTTTGTTTTTACCTTTTTATTGTTTTATAACTTTTTTGGTTAAATAATTACATTAATAAAAAGTATTTATAAGAATTTATAAGAATAAGGGGTAAAAGTTGAGGTTAATGTAAGGTAAAGTTTTTATTTTTTTTTTCAAATTATAATATGTATGTATCTAAAGGTTGGATGAGCTTGTAATAGAGAAGAACATATTTGTAATTCATTCCTTTTTTCTATTTCTTTTTCTTTTCTTTTTTTTTTTTTTGGATGAGAAATTAGAGATCCTAGTTTATATGTTAGTAGATGACTTCTAGTATTAGGTTGAGAAATGAAGCGTGCATCCATGTTTGTTGAGGATTCATTAATACTCGATCTCACACTGGAATGAGCATATGTTTATATATAAGTGTGTGTGTAAACATAAAGCAAAAGAAATTTAATGAAAAGAAAAAAAAAATTGTAGTAAAGTAGAGCTATGGTCTAGACCCACCAAAAATATGCAGGCCATTAATTGATTTTAGTTAATTTAATTTATCATTAACTAAAATAAGAGTGTCTGCCCTGGTAGAATCTGCTAGTGGAGCTCAAAAACACATGCTCCTGTTTATAACATAACATATATATATATATATATATGTAAATTGTAATGTTACGTCCACCAAGATAATAATAGTGTGCATAAAAGACATTAATTAGGACTTATATATGTAAATAAAATTAGTTTAGTTATACCAACTTGAACTACATTTATGTATATAATCACCACAACAACCAAACCAAACCACAATTAAAAAATTAATACACTTCTTGCATTTGCTGATCTATAGCTAGTGTAGCAGAAGCCGTAACTCAAAATTAACACCCACAGCACACAACATTCAACATTTATTGGTGGAACACAGAGATCCAAATGAGAAACAACAATAATATTTCAGATATTACACTTTTGATAGACATATGCAATATCATATATATTCGAAATAAAGAAATCTCTTCCATGCATTATCTTCAATTAAACTATATGTTTGACTTACTCATACGGAAGGGGGCGTGAAGCTGTCAGGTTTCACAACTCTATTGAGAACTTAGATGTAAGAGAAAAATACTATAACAAGATCAAGGCATTAAAAACTTTTATAGAAACACAATCACTCACCTAGCTAGCTTATGTACTGCACAACTGGTTTTTCTTTTGATACATATTTTCTTCTAGAAATTTCCAAAATCATCTCCACCGATAAAAATATTAAAAGAGCGATTCACAAAAAAAACATTGAATCTCTACCAGCCGAGTAGAAGTAACAATCGAAGGTAGATGAGATACTTACTTCTACTCGGCTGGTCGAGATCCAATATTCTTTTTTTTTTTTTTTTTTTTTTTTATATTTATTTCCCCAACATTGATCGGAATAATAAAATTAGCGGATCCCTCCAACATTGATCGGAATAATAAAATTAGCGGAACTCGATTTTCTTGACGTCGAGCATAGGAGGCTTGGATGTATATGCTTATTAGCTATCAACGACCAACCAGATTTATTTGGATATCTCAAAAAGTTTGCTACCTTAAAGATAGAAAGAAGAAAATAAGCTTGATAGATGTCGCAGGTCAAAAGAAGAAAAGAGGACAGAAGATCGTCTATGAGATTAGATCCAGTGGAAACGATGCTTTATATAATGAAAGAAATTAAGAAAGAAAGATTTGACACGTCAAAATGTCTGCCTTACCCCTTCTTTAGAAGTACCACATTTAGTACACTCCCAAACAATACCGTACTACAATGCAGTACAATTTTTTACGTGCAGATTCACGATGGCTCTTTTTCTAATGTTGGTGCTGATTCTGGGAACGTAAGTTAGACATCAAAATCATATGACGATCAAATCATCAGAACCATACACCTGTATACAAATTTGACTTGCACAAGTAAACATCTAAGGGACAAGTTATTTTACTTTATTTTATTTTCTTTGCTTAAAACTTTGCGAATAACCATATTTGTTTGTCGTACCAAAAAAAATAGAAATGAAAAGAGTAAATAAAATGTTTAATTATTCTCTCTCTGTCTCTTTGTTTTTCTTCTCTCTCTCTATTAAAGAGAGAACACGGATATAACATGTGTCAAACTATACATTAAAAAAAAAAAAAAAAGAAGCAAAGATTACAAGCCCACCAAAATCCGCGAATTAAGCTTTAAGCTCCCAGACCCAACCCATGCAATTAGAACACCCTTTGGTAGTTGGTACATTTCCAGTGTATAATGCTAGTACGACTACAAAATTGCAGTACAATTAGAACACCCTTTGGTAGTTTTTTTTTTTTTTTTTTTTCTTTGTTTTTCTTAGGTACAAGAAAAGCACCTCTTAGTACTATAAACGAGTTTCAAACGGTTAAATTATCACGAAATTTTATGACATTGGTAAACGTTATGTAATTCTGATATAATATTGTTGATGTTACTTTTTTGTCCATAGATCTTTGATATGATTTAATGCTAAAATGTTCAGCATCATATAGAACATATATGTAATACAATATATAAAATTATCCGAGTAATAACGAATACAAGTATCCTTTTGTTCTCATTTTAATCTTAAAATTTGAAAACAAGAAAGAATTTTCCGATAGAGATATGAAAACATTTTTTAATCGGTTACACAATTGTGAATCAATAGATCTTCATGAAAATTATATTAAACTTTTCATGTACTTTTTGAGTTGTAACGGTGTTTTATTTCTACTCTAAGATGCAATTTAAAAAAATATAAGTTTTGTGGTAGGATATATATTGTAATATCCGAGATTTAATTAACCTTAAGCCAATAATAAATAAATTTAGTAAATTAAAATCATACACTATATTTACTATTTATTTCAAAGTTATTTGTTGGCATTATATTTTATTATTATAGCTATCATATGATTTTATTAAACTTATAACTTTGCTAATCGAGTTTTCAGTTTTAATGTGCAGTGCAACTAACTCGATGTGGAACTCAATGTGATAAACTTATGAAGAAAAAATGATATTTATTATGATTATTTAATATGATATTTTACCTCTATTATGATTGATTTAATGATAAATTATTATTTTATATTTTTATTATATGGATTTATATAAATGTGTTGAGGATTTAGTTGCTATTTTGAGTTTTTGTGAGAGAAGGCTATGTTACAAATTGAATGAACTTTAGGCACCTAATTGAAGAAGAAAAATAGAGACTTTAGAGCTGATTTTATGAGGTTAGGACAGCTGTTAGAGGCTTAGAAAAACCTAGACACTTGTCCTACTATAAGGTCACTTTACTTTTGTTTGGTCTCTGTCATGTTTAGACTTCATTTTTTAGTCTATTTTAGCAAAAAAAGCCTAGAACTCCGACCATAACATTTTTTTCTCTCTTCTCACTCCTTTTCTCAACCAAAACTCAGAATCAAACCTAAATTTTCAAGAGAGAATGAGCTAAAAACTCAACCAGCCCATTTCAACTCATTTTCAACCTAGAACCAAAAATAACCATCAAGGTTTTGAGCTTCTATTCACTTGGGAACACATTTTTCTTTGATGTAACTTCTTTCTTATGTTAGAAACTAAGATTTCAAAGATGTTGAAATCCTACTTGAGATTCAAATTTTTTATGTGACTTATCATGCATGTTGGTTGTAGACTCTTAAAAATGAGTTTCTTAAAGTTTTGGTTCAAATATTGGTTTCTGGGTGAAATTAATGATTTTAGCTTGATATTATTGATGATTATTTGAAGATAAACTCTTATTAGGATGATGATTCATGTATTTGAGAGTGGTCTTTGAAGATTAAGATCTGCATGCTAGGTATTTGATGAAATGTTCAAATATAAGTCCTCTGTACAGCCTATGTAGATTCTATTTTCGTTCTATATATACTTATGATTTTGATTGATCTTATATTTTTCTATTAAATTATACATCTCAAGCTTTACGTGAATTTTTGAATCACTCTAAACGGATTTTTCTACATTTAGTTATGAATTTTATAAGTTCAGCTAAAAAGCTATCATTTTCTTGACGAGATTATACTTCAATCCGGATTTCAGGCTATTTTTGGTTAGTTTAAAAAATCTTAAACCTATCATGTAGTAGTTCTAAAAAGAGGGTTTTGAGTCCACTTTTATTTGCCACTAGTCTCATAATATTTTGAGTTTTGATGAATTTGTTATGAATATTTTCGTAACAATGCGCAGTTATGTGTTTTGTTAAATGATGATATGAATGTGATGTTTGAAAGCTATGGTTTTTAAAAGTTAATTAGCACATTGAAGGCTCCCCACAACCAGCTAGTTTGTGCTTGCAAAGTGGTGATCAAAATTTAGGTAAGTAGAGTTAAACATTTTCAAAACTGCATCACAAGACCTATTTGACATAACTTGTTTAGAATTGTGATTTATGCAAGTTTATTGTCTTAAAAAATTCTTATATGATTATGTTCAAAGAGTATTCATGATTAATTATTTTGAAAGAGATCATGATATTTACTTATTATGTTTTTATGTTTTAAGAGATTTTATGGTGTGGTATATGAATGAGAGGTTGAGTAAGCAGATGTGTGAGGGACTGGTGCCCCAAATTAGAGAAATTGTCTCTTTGAGACAACTAGAGAAAATTGGTAGTGGGAAGTCTCTTGTTGATCACAAGAGAAAGAGATTCTAAAAACCCCACTTAGTGTTTAAGAGAAGAGAATTCGCCAAAATTAGAGAAGATCTTATATAGAGAGACTTACTTGGAACCGAAGTTCTGTATCATACGTAAACTAAGAATAAGTATAAAAGTTTATGAACAATGTTTAACAAAGAGATTTCAGCCATGGAGATTTTAGATACTTACTTTATTTAAAATCTACTTATTGAGTTTTTGTTCATTAGTTTTACCTTGTGATGCAGATGATGTTATTGTTGCCGAAGAATAAAAAAAATGATTTCTATGGTTGGCTGAGTACTCCAAGTCCTACATCTGACATCTTGCTTATGTGTACTTCCAAACAATAGATGGGCCTAAAATGTTTATTTATTTTTTGTTATTATGTTGCTTTTGAATAACTGTTTAATGTCTAAGATTAATAGTTGTAATCATTTTGCGCACTGACTCATTTTGTTCAAAAACCTTTACGAAAATTTTGTGATGACTTCAACCACAAGTTTCTGCATCTTAAAAATGATATTGTTTTAAGTATAGAAAGTATATTTTAAATAGGACCACTTCGCTAAATTCAATCTTAGACCGGTTTAACATTGAGGGCGTTACATATATAACAAAAAAATAAAAAATAAAAAATGATGGATTTCGGCATGATATATATATATAGGAAATGTCTTTAGTCCGGCAGCAACTATTTACCTGACTTATCCGGTAAGTGATTTTCAGCCATTGATGGAAATGGATGGGTGGGATTCATCACATCCTTGCAGAAGCATTCACAGGTGCTAGCTTCCGTACACTGCAAGTGGCAGCTTTTATTGGCCATGTGTTGAATGAAGAGAAAAGGGAGAAGGAAGAGTGAGGTTGGTGGCCACGTGTATATGTGAGAGACAAGGGATGATGTGAGAGACAAGGGAGATGGCTGCAGGGAAAAAATATATTAAAAAAAATGTGAAACCCAATTTTAAAAAAAAAAGCTCTTTTTTTTGAACAAAACAAAGAGAGGCTTGATTAGCGAAAAAAAAGAGTGAGGCTTAATCGTTTATGGAGGGGGAAAGAGCTTAGTAAAAACAGTAGCTTTTACAGTTTTACAGTAGGCGAAAAATGTAATAATCGTGTATGTAAAATTTCATTATTTTTTGATGTCGTTTTTATTTTATTTTATTTTATTTTTTAAAGATGAAAAATAAAGAAAATCATAAAAAATAGAATATTCATCAAAAAAATGTGCCACTTATTGCATTAATTGCTAAAAATTATATATTAATTTTAGAATGTAAAAAATAAATAAAACTGTACATTTTTTACCCATCCCGGCCCCTGAGCTGGCCCCTAGCGCGCCCCACTACGCGAGCCGGTGACTTTTTGACAAGTTTTACTTTTTTTGTCAATTTTTGAGGCAATTTTTTCTGGCATGCCTAGAAAAATGTAAGGATTGTATCTGCAAAATTTCATTATTTTTTTACGTCGTTTTTATTTTATTTTATTTTTTAAAGATAAAAAATAAAGAAAATCATAAAAAATATAATATTCATAAAAAAAATAGTGCTGCTTGTTGCATTAATTCCTAAAAATCATATATTAATTTTAGAATATAAAATATAAATAAAAATGTAAATTTTGATATTTTATATTATATCGAAATATGCTCTTAAGATTTTGTATTTTTAATAATATTAAAACAGTATTTTAATCTTTTTAAAA